ACGCTGTTACCTTCCCACCATGGTGGTCCCTATTTATCTACTTGCATTTGCATGCTTTCGAACCGCAAGGTTGGCGGGGAGCTGGGACAAGCGGCGGGCACTCACTCCGTCACGTGGATTTGATCTTCCGACTGCTTGGTCTTCTGACCCTGCAGCACAGGCTTCTGCAGTTTAGCCCACAACGCCACCACGTCCCTAACTACACCTAATTGTCAGTACAAATAGCTGAGGATCTTATTCAGTTCATTTTGTACAGAAAGCTACTCAGCTTTGTAGATTTCCTGTTAAATTTGATGGAAAGATCCTGAGATTTAAAAAAACTGAATATGAGGGGAAAAAATGAGGCTGACAGATACATCTATCCTTACTTAGCAAAAATGGCTATGTAGATGCCAGTTTGGGAGGGGCAAAATATTTAATATGATTTATGCATCTTTCTTTTTTGGTTGCATATAATACATGGCAGAAAAAAAACTTTTTAAATGGACAAAAGACAATCTTTTTACTTTTTTGAATCACAAAGCCATTTATAAAATGAATGGAATCCATTTAAAGAAAAATGCAGTCAATTTAGCATAATGCTGCCTACAAATCCAGATGCAACCGAGGTTAAAAAAAAAGAATACTATTTAATATTTATCTAACACTTCCAAATGCTCCAGTTGCTTCAAATGCATTATGTAGTGGCAAACCTTACAAAGTAAGCTGACCTTCTGCCCCATAGTGTAAATGGTAGGTAAGCTGAAGCATTGGAACAGTGGCTTGCCTAAACCTAGCTAGTGGGTTCATAGCAGAGAGAAGATTCAAAGCCAGGTCCTCCTGATTCATAGCTCAGTCTCTTAGCCACTACATTGGGCATTCTCTCCACTTAAGATCATCACAATGGGATTGCCAAGAATCAATATTTGTAACCCATCGTCCTGCCCCACCTGACTGGCTAACCGGATCTGTGAATAGCTGAGAAGACAGCATGTCCAGGGGAAGCGGGTGCACTGTGAAACATGTTCGGACTTCTCTCTATGATGGAAAAAGTGTGAAATCATGGCAATGTCAAATGTATAACAGCAATATACATGCGCAGAGGGGGCTTGGGAAGAAGTGGTTGCTCTGTTCAGCATTTGGAAAGCTTAACATCCTACCTTTTTTCATAGCCTATAGCTGCCAGAACCATCCTAGCCAACATAGCTAATGGCCATGCCAACTGGGCTTTTCTGAAAGCTGTCCAAAACACAGAAGTGGACTGCAATCCAGAAAGGCTGACATTGAAATAAATGTGCTAGTCTCAAAAGTGTGGCAGTGTTTTCATATCTGATTGGTTTCTCTAGTCTGAAAAAGAGAGACAGTTTTGGGAATGTTGATATCGGACATCATGGGGAATTTGAAGGGATGTAGTTACTGAGGAAGCGGGTGCACTGTGAAACACGTTCGGCCTTCTCTCTATGATGGAAAAAGTGTGAAATCATGGCAATGTCAAATGTATAACAGCAATATACATGCGCAGAGGGGGCTTGGGAAGAAGTGGGGACTTATAAGTGGTTGCTCTGTTCAGCATTTGGAAAACTTAACATCCTACCTTTTTTCATAGCCTATAGCTGCCAGAACCACCCCAGCCAACATAGCTAATGGCCATGCCAACTGGGCTTTTCTGAAAGCTGTCCAAAACACAGAAGTGGACTGCAATCCAGAAAGGCTGACATTGAAATAAATGTGCTAGTCTCAAAGGTGCGGCAGTGTTTTCATATCTGATTGGTTTCTCTAGTCTGAAAAAGAGAGACAGTTTTGGGAGTGTTGATATCGGGCATCATGAGGAATTTGAAGGGATGTAGCTACTGAGAGTTGGGAGGAAAAAAGATTGAATAGTAGGAGGCAGAAGCAAAATGGGAAAGAGAAAAAAAATATTTTTGTGACTTGGGACATGCAGAAGTTATTGGATTCAGCTCCCATCAAAGGAGACATAGCCACTGATGTGGGAGGCCAGGAGCTGCTGTCCAGCAACAGCCAAAAGCTACCTTTGCTGCTTTTCCTTCCTTTTATCTCTGACTTTCCTTTTTTAATTATTTTTATGGGCAAGAATTATTCTTCTCATCCGCTGATACAGTAGAGTGACCACATCACTATAAAGGAGAACAAAAGGAAGACACGGTTTACATAAAATAAGATATGTTGATTTACTGTATTTACAGATACAAAATGTAAAATGATTTTTATTAATTTAAATCGGACTACAGTGGGGGCAGACAACTACTCATACCAGGTGATTTGGATGAATACTGGCTCTGCTGCCTAGATGCCATCTGAGTAACTTCAGTGCCCCTCATCTCTCTCATTCTGTCTGCCTGTCTTTAAATCAGACTTGAATTGAATAGTCCTTTAAATCTTTCAAAAGTAGGATTGTGTGCTAGGACTCCTTTAAATGGAGAACTGTCCTTCTTAAAAGGACATCTGGCCATTTTACACAACAGCAGCATTCAGTCCTGGCCTCTTTTTTTGTTTGGTAACAAACAATTAAACTAAGAACTTAGTGTGGGATGGATCAATCATCAGGAGACCACCTCTGATTTGGCTGGTCATATATCCTACATAACAGTGGTCCCCAACCTTGGGCCTCCAGATGTTCTTGAATTGCAACTCCCAGAAGCCTTCAACACCACCTCTGCTGGCCAGGATTTCTGGGAGTTGAAGTCCAATAACATCTGGAGGCCCAAGGTTGGGGACCACTGCTACATAATACAGAGCAGTCATCTACCTGAAGATCTAACAAAGGATGACGATGAATTTGAAAGCAATCTCTATTTCAAGGGTATGATCCTGCGAATGTTTTTGGGTTACAACTCACAATAATGTCGGAAGGCCACATGTTCCCCAACCTTGCTTTATTTTAAGGACAGTCCAGTCCAAAGGAAGTTTAAAGATCATGAACTCTAAGAAGAGGATCAGAGCCTCGATCCCAGGATGGATCAAGACTGAGCTTGTGAGCAGCAGACTCAGAATGCAGAGGCAAAGTTTACTTTGTCTTAGTCTTTCTTGCAACACATAGCAATCATAATAACTATTTATAAACATGTGATATAGCATATAGGCACCCTTTTTAATGCCCTTTTTATGATGATGAATTGCCTGTTTACTGGACATATATAAGTGGCCACATAGCCTTGGGTATTGTGTGGAGGGGATTTCTTTACCCCCATAAAACAGCAGCCTTCGCTTGCCATTGTTTTGCAACCTGTAACACAGTGGTGAAGAACATGTGAACGTCAAAAACTCTGGACCAATAATTCCTACAATTCCTTTCCACTGGATATGCTATCTGGGACTTCTGGAAGTCGGAATCCAAAACATCTGGAGAACCAAAGCTTCCTTATATCTGCTGTAAGGATCAAGATATCTGTCTGATAGTATCCCTTGGTTTCCTAGTCAGACATCTCCTTTGCCGAAATAGAGGGTCACTCCAGTGGAAGCTGAATGAGCAATACACCATTGGCTGCATTACCAGCTACAATGGGGTTTGCTGAGGACCACAGAGAAAAAAAGATACCTGTATTGTCCTTATCACTGCATGCAGTTGTCCTTCTGTGGAGATTGTGGGGATGACAGAAATGCACCTGCAGTCATTGGAAGGCAGCTTCTTAGGAAGCAGAGTTTAGCTTGCCTCTTGCAGTTGGTTCTAATGTTCTGCACAATCTGGCTTGAACACGATGGTGTCTTAGTATCTCTTTTGGAACTTAGAACATTCCCTTGAAAAAGTAGCTGTTCTTGCTACTAAAATTGTCAATGCACCTACAGGAAAAAAATACAGAGAAATATTCTCTGGTTTCCTCAGTGGCCACCTCCAATATAGTATCTGAAATTTAAAAAAAAATTAGAAAATAGGAATTCCCTCTTCTAGCCTTCTGCCTTACATATGGTGATGCCATTTTTTTAAAATTTTTATTTTTCCCACTTCACCATCGTTCAAGAACCTGTTCTGTTTTTTAAAAACTGTCTCAACTTGGTTGCCCACTTTTGTAAATTTGGTCCTAAAGGAAAAGTTAAGATCGGATTGAAACCTGTATGGAGTATTGAGCCTGGCCCGGCTGGCTCAATATGTTTTGATGCCTGAGGCAAAGTAGCAACAGGTACCAACCCCACTCATCCATGTTAAGGTGCAGAACACCTGCGTAGTCAAATTGTTCTGAGACAAGGTGGAGAATCCCTGAGAAACTCTATCTCTAAACTAAATGTAAGAAATAAATAATGAGAAATTAAATAACTAATAATTTCTGCTGCTTTCATGAGATCTTCAGTAATGGTGCAATGTCTACCTCATCTGCTAATTTCCAGCAGCTGGATGTAAAAATAAAATTTCTTCTTTGACTATAACACATGGTACAGAGTCTTATTTCTCGAGAGGAAAATTCTGTGTTGCTTCCCAATGCATTACAGCCATGGTTGAGATTTTTATTTTATACCATGAACTCAATTAGCTGACATTAACAGTATCAGATTGTTGCTGAAGAACTGGTACTGATAATGCAGCGGGACAAAAGGCAGGAATGTCAGCAACTCTTTAGGTCATAGGTCGAAGTCCTAGTCGTCGGTACCAAGTCCTGAGTCCCAGCCCCAAATCCGAGTCCCTCTTAAAAATAAGCCTTTTTATCAAGAAAAAAAGATAGGTGGGTGGGTGGGTTCTAAGCTGAGTTCCAGTCATTGGAAAAAAAATCGCCCAGGTCAAGTCCAAAGTAAGTGACTTAAATCCAAGTTAACAGCAATTACCGCAGCTTGAGTCCTCATCCCTGACAAAAGGGTCTCCTTATGTAGTTAGCAATAATGGTAATGATAACACAAGAAAACTACTTGTTGCATTAAAACATGTTAACACTTTAGGAGGTTGTTTGGTTGATGCTAAAATGTAAGGATGCTGATGTCCTCTGTTCAGGAAAAACTTAGTGAGCAATGACAACTATTCTGTGTTACTTCCAAGCTCTGATCTCTCTCTTTCTACTCCTCTTTGCTTTCCCCAGCTTGTTCATCACCGCCTAAACAGCAGCGTCCACTACGCCCTGCCGCCACCCAAGCCTCATTCTGAAGATCCCTTCTTCATTGTAGAGACTATTTGCATCTGCTGGTTCTCCTTTGAGTTCCTTGTGCGGTTTGCAGCCTGTCCAAGCAAGCCAGCCTTTTTCAAGAACATCATGAACATGATTGATTTTGTGGCCATCATCCCCTACTTTGTAGCTCTTGGCACTGAATTTGCACGCCAGCGTGGTGTAGGCCAGCCTGCTATGTCTCTGGCAATCCTCAGGGTCATCCGTCTGGTCCGAGTCTTCCGAATCTTCAAGCTTTCCCGGCACTCAAAGGGCTTGCAGATCCTGGGGCAGACACTCAAGGCCAGCATGAGGGAGCTGGGTTTGCTCATCTTCTTTCTCTTCATTGGAGTCATCCTCTTCTCAAGTGCTGTCTACTTTGCTGAAGCTGACCATGAAGAAACAAGCTTCACCAGCATCCCTGCAGCCTTCTGGTGGGCTGTGGTCACCATGACAACAGTGGGTTATGGTGACATGTCCCCGGAGACTGTAGGTGGCAAAATTGTCGGTTCCTTGTGTGCCATTGCAGGAGTGCTCACCATTTCCCTCCCAGTGCCTGTCATCGTTTCCAACTTCAGTTATTTCTATCACCGTGAGACAGAGGGTGAAGAGCAAAGTCAGTATGTTCACATCACCACTTGCCCGTATACTCCGCCACCATCTCCAGCCCCAGCCGCAATCCGTGAAAAGGCTCGACTCAGGGAAAAAAATCACTCTGGAGATACTAACAAAACTGTGCCCAACTCAGAATTTCTTGATGGAATGGTGCCTATGGGCAACTCAGAAGTGCCCAACAAACGTCTTGTGACCCAAGTGTGACTACCTGTTCCATCCATTTAAAGAAGTTGTCCCCATCCCTGTGCCCTTCCCTTCCCTTCCCTACATCTCAGTGTCTTAAACTAGAAGGCTGTGCTGCTGCATAATAAGACAGTTAGTCAAACAACTGGACTCTTGGGGCGGTTAAAACCCACTGATAATAACTAAAGCAAAGAGAAAATTTCATAAACGTTTGGGAGAAGAATTTGGAAGGAGACAGCCCTGTCTAAATTTGGGATAGGACAAGTCATGGTAGGTTGCTACTGGAGCAGACCTATGGCAATGGGAAAGCAAAAGGAGTTGCACAGACTATGTTGCAGGGTGAAACTTTCACAACACACACACACACACACACACAGAGAGAGAGAGAGAGAGAGAGAGAGATGCTGTGCTCCCTCTTTGGTTGGTTTAAGGTGCTGTCCATTTAGAAAAAGGACCTCCTCTCTCACTTCTTTTTATTCCCTTCCCTTCCCTACTCAAGTCATTTACCATTCTTCCATGACTCAGAGAGCCCCTGGCATGAAAATGCCATCACGAAATCATAGCTGTGTATTCTTGAGTTACATCTCCTGGACCGTGCGATGGAACATACCCAGAGTGACGGGGCCCCAAATAGCAAGAGTGGGAATAAATAAAAGAATGCAGTTGCCCAGCTCCTTCAGCATCGGGGTATCAAAGGAAACGCGGTCATTACACTGAGGGACAACTGTAACTACATCTCCAGAATGAAGCTGTCTGCTATAAAGGAGCTGTCTGCTTCTGCGTCTCCCACAGGATCTCCTTGTTTTTAAATCCTACAGATAAACAGCTGTTCTCCATTTTGCTGGGAACTCATACCGGAGGGCCTGTTCTAATTTTGTAGGCTGCAACTACTGTAATGGTTATGTAACATTTTCTAAAATTTGCTTTTGGACAAACCACTTCCCAGACTTAGCACAAAACCATCATTTTGTTCGGCCCCAAGCAATAAAGGTTAAGAGACGGTCAACATCTTCTCCCTCTGGAGAGGCCACTTCAGTACAAGACAAAGGAAACCTTGTGTCCCATTCAGACCTACCATTAGGCAGGGTGAGGCAGCCACCCCATACAGCTAAGGTTCAGTGTCACAAAAAAGTGTGGTCATTTGTTAATTATTTAATTTATCATGTTTTTCATTTTACTGTCAGGAAAGGAGAAAGGAACTCATGCAATTTCCTGCCCCAGATGCCAAAAGAATTTGGCTGGCCTTGGATTCTGTGCACTTTAATTTGGAGAAAGGTCCCTTTTGCTGTTTCTCCTTCAGGCACCAAAATGTCTTGGGTCAGCCCTGGTAATTTCTAAGGGTAGAAGTTACCCATTTATTTACAGTTTCTTATTATATATGTTTACTATTATGCAGAGAAAGAGTGCTAGATTATTATTTGAATTCTCTACCTGCATCCTGAACTGTTCTCAGGCAACCCAACAGTATCTCCTTGCCACACAATCTGAGTTGACACAATTGTTCTTCATCTAGTACCACTGCCTTTCATCTGTGTACACCCAAATCTACTTCAGTGTAGCTATTTTCGTATCCAATCGGGCAGAGTACAGCCCTCTTCCAATGCAATCCGAGCCGCAACAAAATATTCCATTCTAAATTCAGTTCAACCTTGCACTAATCTGGAACTGTTAGTGATCAACTGATCTCTGCTGTATAAGGTTTTCTCTGGTGATGGAGCTAAGATATTGGTGCAGGAGAGGAAAGTTAAATAGTTTTCAAAAGTCTTAACCCAACAAATACTTGTCCATCTAGACAGAGAGAAGCTGGGAAACTGGGTCAGAGAAAGAACTCTCTGATCCCACTCTGCCAGCCATGTTATGTCTATTTGTCTTACAAACATACATTTATGCATACACACAATTCTGTTCCATTGGTTTTAGGTCTTAAGTGCTGAGTAAGAGTAAGGCAGCAGGGTGAAGGTTACATTCAGTTGGTTCTTTCTTCCAGATAATCTTAAAACAATCTTGAGCAGAGAATGAGGAGCAAGCTAATATTGTATAAACAACAAATCTATAGCTACCTGGGCTTTATTCAGCTAATGAATATGGGGGTGTAGCATAATCCCCTCCTACGTGAACCACATGTGTAATTAAGCAAGCTACACACATGTGAACAAAATTACAAAGCAGTGCAATGACCTGCGAAAGTGATCAGCATGATATATTAGAAAAAAAATGTTAGCATAGCTATAGGTTCACTGACACTGTATTTCTTCAAGTCCCCCCACATTAATTACAAGGTAATTGTGTTGGTGGTGTATGGATGTCAACTACATAGCAAACCCTAGTAGGTATAGCTTGCAATAATGGTTTGAAGGATAGGCAGAACAGAATAGGACAACCAGCTAGAAAATAAGATAGAATTTTTGTATGTTTCATAGCTGTCCAGAAGATTGACTTTCTGCAGGTGTATATGTTTATGTACATAAGGGGGATCAGTGCCATGCAGGAATGAATATATAAAAATAAGAATTGTGATGTCCCAAAGTTTAGCTGGTCTAGTATCATGTTTACTGTGGTGGCCAACCAGATGCCTGTGTGAAATCTACAAAGAGGAGATGAAGGGAATGGCCATGTCCTTGCTATTAGTAATTGATTTTAATGATCAAGAATGCCACCTAATTTCTGATGTATGCTCTATGACTTGAAGAAAGACGGGGGGGGGCACTTTTGCATGAGATGCAGGAATGCAATCACACAGCTATTTAAAAGCAAAGAGCCTCTTGTCAGGAACAGAGGTAGCAACCGTCCCTGCTAACAGGGGATGAGTGCCAGCAGTAATATAAGCATTTTAAGTACCAAGTGATTTCTCTATGGAATTTCAGTAATCATAATGTAATTTATGCCTTGTAGCAGTTGCTGGCCACATTCATGCTGGTCACATTGCACTTGGTACTCACACATCCAACAGTTTCTTGGCAATTATCACCCAGCTTGGAACAACTTGAGTAACCATTAATAAATAGTTTGTGGAAGGTAGTAATAATATAGTGTTGATTCAGACAACTAGAGGTCCTATGGAAGCTGCAATCAAATTGACAAGCAGAATGGTGGCCATCAATATTCTCAAGACTCAAGATTTTTTACATTCAACAGCACCAGGTAGAGCAGTCTTATTTTCCCAGACTAATGCATTGTTCAAATAGCATATTGAAATACTGAAGTCTGACCTGTATTTTTTCTGCACATAATTTATTATTTATTCTATGTAGTTCTTAGTTACATTTATATCCCACTTTTCCTCGAGTTAACACAAAGCAGTGTATGTGAGTGTCTTCTGCTGTACTTTATTCCTCACAACAATCCTGTGAAGTAGATTGGGGGTGGTGGAGACTATCTTAATAGCTCAGTAGAGGTTTGCTTCTGCATCTCTTAAATCCCAGTCTAGCAGCCTAATCACTACACTATATGTATAATGGAAGGGATATATACCTTTATAGGAAAATATAAATTCTTCTCCCCAATCCCTAGGTGCAGATGAACACACATACAAACAAAATTCAAAGGTACTGCTATTCATATGAAGCCAAAACTGATTCTGTTGCATATGGAGTCTGCAGCACACATGCACGCACACACCACTTCTCCTAATTTTGAAGAAGCTGCAGGAATTGGCAATGTCCCTTGAGGTCCTATTTATTTGACACCACGAAAGTTGGGAATGTCATTTGCCAGGTAAAATGGTAGGAAGCCGAACAGCAGTTGTGGTGAACCTTAGAAGTGCCACTTTGTAAAAGCAACTGCATAACAGCAGCTTAAGCAATGGGCATTACTGTAGAAAATACAACACAATACACATGTAGCTTTCATGATGGGTTTATACCACTGGATAGCTTACTAGCTATAGTAAAAAAAGGATGCAAGTGGGTTTTATTTTTGTTTTGCTTTTGGACTGTAGAAGCTCTTTGTCTTTAACAGCTACGTGACAAATAGAAAACCAAATCCAAATTTGTTGCCGGTATGAAGATAAAAGAGATGGGGAAAACTGCATTTTAAAAAGACAAATACACTCCACACACACATGCCCCAAACAATACTAATTATAAACCGCCTACAAATCACTTGAAGTTTGATACAACTTTTGTGTATAACACTCTAGCAAAGACAGTGTAAGCTACATGGCTCATTGACTGAAATGTTGTAAATGCATACGGACTGTAGAGCAGCGTGGGCAACTTACAGGGGCAAGAGTGAAGCTGTGTCAGACCCCCTCAGAGCCCACCAGAGCTGCATCCCAATCTCTATCCCATGGCTGAATATATCCCCATGTACCTTGTTTCCATCTTTAAAAGCAGGGATGTTGCTGCTGCCACAGAGAATTCAGCAGTGGCATTATGCCACAGCCATAGCCGACATGACAATGCCATGCTGGCTATGGAAGGATGCAAGGTGCTACAGTCCAAACAAGTAACTTTTCCAAGCTCAGGCCCCCACTGCACCTTGGAAAACTTACTTCAAAATCACTATAGATAGGCACAGAGCGTGAGAATATTCTACCATAATTGGACTGCATTCTGGTCACACTTAAACATATTACTTAAAACTGCTGCAGTGACTACAGGACTGTCTTTAAATGAAAAATATGGTGGTGTTATGTAGACTCCAGTAAAAGTCAGTTCAAAGTGAGCTGTACGTCAGGTGTCACTGCTCCATTTTATGCACATTACCTCCTAACATTTCCAGTCAGGGATGTTAATGCTTTTCTTTTCACAAGCTTTACACCATATGGGAAGTCTGCTCTTTCATTGCATCTATAGAAGACTTCAAGAGGATCCCTCCAAATTCATATTTGTCTTCTTCTGTCTCGTACCATCACATCTTTCAGTGACAGAGCACCTACAATGTTTTCCAGATGATGCTCCTGCCCCATATTAGGAATGTGGAAATACTTCCTCCCTGCTTACAGAGCCCTTTCTTACAATGAAAATGGCCAAGAAAATGAATCTCAGGTCTTAACACTATTTCTTTTATCTACAACATTGTCCAGAAGAAACTCCATCAGCTTCCAGTTGGAGTTAGCTTGGACACTCTATTGTTCAAAGTGTTTTACAAGAAGATCCTCTCCCTTCTTCATGGACAAAACCTTTTGTCAGCAAAAGCATCCTGGTGAGATCCCTCATAGTTTTTCAATAATTGGACAAAGGGTTCTCCCGAGTTTTGGTACTTTGAAGTACTGTGGGTTTGGTTCCTGAGTATGTTTGGAAAAACTCTTGTTGTTTCTCAATATGGCTACCGTTTGTTGTTGTTTTATATGCTAGTCACTAAAACCCCAATTCAAAATTGTAAAGGAAATATTTCTCCGAAAGAGGGAGCTGTCTTGAACGGACCCTTCCAAAACAGAGCCAAAGTCTTCCATCACCTTGGGCAATTGAGGAACAAGAGAGAAACAGGCTCCGTTACTATATTGTGCTCCTTCAATTAACAAGAGGAGGCCCACTCTGAATTGTCTCATAGCAGGAAGCCCTCTTTGGAGTCTCTCATCTGAAATTGGGGTCCTTGGTCTTATCCTTCAGTAAACAAAAGGTGGGAGCAACACAACAGCATTTTGTGGCATTAAAGCAATTGAACAAAGTTCAGACATACACTGGTGGATCCAGCAGCAATGGAGTATAAGATTCTGGATTTTAAAACCTATGGAAGATGGACTGTTTACAGCATGTTGTCTGTGCTTTTCACGGGTCTCCGTTTCTCTCACCTCGTATAAGACCTTTCTGGCTGCTACCTTGTATGATGTTACCAAGAGAAAGTTCTCTCTTTTTATTTGTCTATAATAAAGTACAAAAGACTTATTATTTATTGAGAAGGAAAAGATAAGTGTTGTGTCATTGGTGCTGGTGCTGTTCTTCTTTCATTCTGGGCTTTTCCAGACTGAGCACTGATAATACTGTTTTTTCCTTGCCATCCATGTGACATATTATTGTCCCTGTAAGTTGATAACAACATTTGTGTGCTTCTTTGTCCCCTCCTGGTCATAGTTTACTTTTGTCAGTTTGTTCCAGGAAGGCAGAGTTTAGCACTATGGCAATTCCCATTAAATTAATTTCTGTGGACAGAGCTTCCCAGTCAGAAACTTTCAATCTGTAATCAATTATCACAGGAAACACACACAAATAGGGCCAGGAGAGAAGCTCCCTTAGGAGATGGCTTTTAAAACGTAGACATAAAAAGATTTTTTAAAAATGATTTATAGAGTCCCTAGAAGTGTTTTTAAGAGAGACTGCTTTTAAAAGTACAATTTGGGTGCAAAACTCAGTAAGCCTCACATTCCTTCATGATGAGCAAGAATAAACTAGGAGAAAAAAAAAGAACAGAACTTTTGCACCACCTGGAAGAGCCCTCTATATCGTGTCTCAACTAAAACTTGGAGGGTGGATGATTAAGGCATTTGATTAAGAGCAACCGACAGTGACCCTGCCCTGCCCTTTGCTTTTCTCAGTGTGTAAACTTTGCTGCATCCCAGTCCTGGAGAACCAGTTATCCCTCAGCCCTGCTGAGCTGGCAAGGTTTAAATATAGGCGGTCAGAGTATCCTGGAATGCAGAAAGGCTCAGGCCAAGAAATCTGATGGTGCCTTTTTGCTTTTTCTACATCTGCATAAAATGCAGAGATTGTTTTTCATTTCCATCACCCCTTGGAAACACTTTGCTTGCTGGACGTCAGCTTCACATCCAACAGGTGATGATCATGATGATTAGATGCTAGAAAGCTGGAATCCTTATAATGATGTCAG